TCTCACCACCTTCTCTTGATCTCTTCAGCTTAGGTCCCTGCCATCTTTGTTTCTTATCATACCAATTTTTGCCTGAAATTTACCTCCAATGTTTCTAATTTTCTGGAAGAGGTCTCTTGTCCTTCCTATTCTGTTGTCTTCTTCCACTTCCATGCATTGCTTATTTAAAAATAGTTCCTTATCTCTTCTGGCTAACCTCTGTAATTGCGCATTTAACTGGGCATATCTCCCCTTATCCTGTTTCCTTTTGCTTTCCTCCTTTCTTGGGCTACTTCCAGTGTCTCAGCAGACAACCATTTTGCCTTCTTGTTTTTCTTTTTCTTTGGGACGTACTTTGTTGCCGCCTCCTGAACAATGTCTCGGACTTCTGTCCATAGTTCTTCTGGGACTCTGTTTACTAAATCTAGTCCTTCAAATCTGTTCTTCACTTCCACTGTATATTCGCTAGGAATGTTAGTGAGATGATATCTAACTGGTCTGTGTATTTTCCCTGATCTCTTTAGTTTTATTCTAAATTGAGCAATAAGAAGTTCGTGATCTGAGCTACAGTCAGCCCCAGGTCTTGTTTTCACCGACTGGATGGATGTCCGCCACCTTTGGCTGCAAAGGATGTAGTCAATCTGATTTCGGTGTTGACCATCTGGTGAGGTCCATGTATAAAGCCGTCTTTTAGGTTGTTGGAAGAGAGTATCGTTATACACAGCGAGTTTTCCTGGCAAAATTCTATCAGCCTGCGTCCCGCTTCATTTTGTTCTCCCAGACCATGCTTGCCTGTGATCCCAGTTGTCATTTGACTTCCCACCTTGGCATTCCAGTCTCCTGTAATGAAAATAATGTCTCTTTTTGGTGTATTATCCAGTAGGTCCTGCAGATCCTCATAGAACTGATCTACTTCTGCTTCTTCAGCAGCTGTGGTTGGGGCGTATATTTGTATCACTGTAATGTTGAAAGGCTTTCCTTGCACTCGAATTGAGATCATTCTGTCATTTTTTGGGTTGTATCCAAGCACCGCTTTAGCGAATTTCTTATTAATTATGAAGGCTACTCCATTTCTTCGATGTTCCTCTTGTCCGCAGTAGTAGATCTGGTGGTCATCTGATGTGAAGTGGCCCATTCCAGTCCATTTCAGTTCGCTGACCCCCAGAATGTCTATCTTTAGTCTTGACATCTCCCCAATAACAACATCCAATTTGCCCTGGCTCATAGATCTTACATTCCAGGTTCCTATGGTGTGTTGATCTTTAGAGCATCGGATTCGTCGTTCACCTCCAGTACCGTCGGCCGCTAGCCTTCCTTTCGGCTTTGAGCTAGCTGCGTCATCACATCTGGGGCTAGTTGAACTTATCCTCTGCTCCTCCCCAGTAGCATTTTGGCCATCTTCAGACCTGGGAGTCCCATCTTCCAATGGCATACCGACATATCTCTGGTTGTACTGGTCCATTTAGTTTATTATTATACCACACCAACTCTTAGGAAAGTACATGTTGTGCCTTCAAGTCATTTCCAACTTAGATTGAACTCAGGATAAATTTCTGAAATCATGGATGAGAATCATGTGGCCCTCTAGATGTGCTTATTTATTTATTTATTTATTTATTTATTTATTTCCAGCATTTCTAACCCACCCTTCTCAACCCTGAAGGGGGACACAGGGTGGCTTACACCTGGCCACAATTCAATGCCGCAACTTGGACTTTGATTTTGAGTTTCCCTAGGTAGCATAGTCCAGTTGGGAACAACATCTTAAATTATTATTTAAGAGCTGAAAGCTTGTGTATGATTCCCACCTCTCTTCAAAGTAAAACACTTATATGATTGGCCAAAGTCCTTGATATCTTAACAGGGGAGTGAGCATCACTCAACAGTGAGATTACTTTTGAGTAAATATATGTATTGTTTATACTTGTGTATAAGTTGACCTCATGTATAAGAAGTGCAGTGTGTGGGCTAAAATTACAGATTGTGATATGATCTGTGAATCGGTTGAGGGTTATTCCACATAGAGAGGAAAGCAGCAGCCCCACCATAGAGGGCCAGCCACATTTGACAACCACCAATACCACTTTCTCACCCAAACATTTCAAAAAGCCAGAAGGGGGAAGTTCTTCTTTTAGGTTCTCATGGGACAGAATAAGCTCTCATCTTCTTATAAAAAAGCTCATATTTTTATAAGAAGAGTATACAATACTTACATTGACCCACGAGCCTATTTGTTTGACTAATATTTCCTTCCAGTTCTTTGTTCCATGTGGATCTTCACTGCTGCATGCCTGTGAAGTAACCACCCTAATGAGAACATATTTGAAACTGTTGCCTTCATTTATAGCTTTGGCTACCACACCTGAATAATTTGCTAGAGCAAAAAAAGGGCTCTGTTGAAAAATCTTTAGTATTTTCTCTGCTCATCCAAAAAAAGAAAAAAAAGATGGATTGCCATGGTAACATCATCATGGAAGAATAGGTCAAGTTTTTATCAATATTCGTCAGGCTTATGCTGTTAAGTTTTTGCTTAGAAGTCAATCCGAGACCAAAAAGGCAGACATTTATGTTTTGGAATTAAAGATAATTTGATCAGCTGGTAAATTAGTACCAGTGAGTAAGCAAGATGAAATCAATAAAAGAGCTAGTTCTACATAGAGGTTCACATCAAGGTTTAATGAGGAAAATCAGGATTGATTTACAGCAAGAAATGGAAATGAAATATGGAAATTAATTCTCCTATGCTTTCCATTTGCATGAAAGTCAGGCATAATGAAACGACAAAAGGGCCACAAATTTCACTGTATGGAGAGGTAGATCAGGAAAATAGATATTGTTCAAAGTCATTTTTAGTATTAACATTAACTTGAAATGTTATATTATTCCAATAAATTATGGGGGTGGGGGCAGAATGAAAAGAAAATTAAGATGTCCTTAAATCCAAGTGCAGTGAATGAAGTTTAACTACTTAGTTTGCTTGGAATTAGTTCATATGTGCACAATCCTCCAGAGGTTTCATGTTCCAGGCCCATTAAAGTAATTTGGCATATTTATTTCAGGGCTGTGGGCTTTGAAATCATGGTTATGCTCAGCATTTTCTTCTTATGCTTATATTCATTTAATTTTGAAGTAGCAATTTCCAAGAGTGAACACAGCATTGGAGTAAGGGAAGAGAAGGCACTCATAAAAGTTGTTGGCCCAAAAAGCAGTTGGCAGTATATGTAAATGAAATCTTAAAACCATCTGTTAAAATGATTGCTGTTATCTTCTGATAGTTTTTGGGAGCTTTATTTTGTAATTTGGCAAGGATACATTACACATCAAGAAATAATAATAGCAGCATATAAGAAAATACGAAAAAATGAAGACAGAAATCAGCATTATAGGATGTCCATGTGTGTTGTTTGCAGAGGATTAGAGAGTCTTATCATTTTGGTTTAAAATCCTGTCCAAAGATGAAAACAAAGGACACATGTTTATATTCCTGGGTTGGAGTAATTACAACTGACATATGGAGAAATGAAGTTGTATTTGGGTGGCACATGTTTGCTTATTGTGTTGTGACATTTGAAAAGTTGAGATGGCTTTGTCAGTAGCAAGGCCAAGGTTATGGAATACCACATTGGGCACGTCTTTAATGGCCTTTTCAGTTCAGCTAAGTGAAAACAGGTAGGGTGGAGGAGATGCAGCAGCCAGAGGGGAAATGAAGCAACTAAAGAAAGTCACTAGTGGCAAAAAGTTAGTGATAACACATCTTTTTTTGACTAAGGATTGTCAACATCATTATTAGTTAATTTTCTGAAGAGAATGCTATAAATATTTAAAGTGTTGCATAATTAATCAAATGTATTTTTTTACAGAAATGTTACAAAAGTGACTGTTTTTTTTAAGCAGGGATATAATTTTTGTTTCTTCTTGAAAGAACCAACAAGTATTTTTAGCAATTTTCTTCCCACTGGATGAAAGTCTTCAAAACCCATATTTTTTCATAGCCTATTTACAATCAGGATTTATTCAGTGCAGAAGCCACACATTTTTGTTATATATGTGAAGCACCATTTTCTCCTCATGTAATGGCTTTTTCTGCACAGAAAATAATATTTTTATGAAGAATATCACTCTCAGTGAAGAAAAGCAGTTTCCTGAGCATAAAATGTTGTTTTATGCACCAAACACATGTGCCCCAAAATATTTTCATTAGTTCAGGATTCTTCCCATTAGTTTCTTGATTTTCTAAAACCAAGTTTTCAAGCATGTTTTGAATATTTTCAAATACTGTTTCTATTGCTGATTTGTCAGGTTCATTTTTTGTTTTTATAACAATGGATTATGATATATTAAAGACTCGTTACTCATAAGTAACATATCATGCATTATTTATCAGTGTAGTGAAACATGAGAAGCTTGTTACTGTGTTTTGTAAGATTTATTTGAATTTCCATGCAGATAAAAGACTTGGCCATTTTAACTGTTACTGTTAGTTTTAAAGACTGGTATTTAGCTGGACTTTAGCACAGCAGGTAAATCATGCCAATCGAAAGATTGACAGTTCGAAGCCTGGGTGGGTGTAAGTTCCTGGCCCAGCTTCTGCCTACCTAGCAGTTTGAAAGCAAAATATGAGTAGATAAATAGATATGACTTAAAAGCAGGGAGGTATTTAAGGCACTCATAAGGGAAATGCAAAAAAAAAAAAGCTGGCAATTCAAACTAGGAGGAAGTTTATGAACAAAGCTCTTCAGCAGGGAAAGGAAGCGACAGCAACCTCCCCCTCCTCCCCCGTGGCCGGAACCCAGCACAGGCCTCCAAGATGCCATAGATGGGAAAGGCCTATATTTACCTCTATGTACAATTGTCTGTCTTGTTTGTGTATTAATGGCATTGAATGGTTGCCGTATATGTGTTCTGTGATCCCCCCTGAGTCCCCTTTGGGGTGAGAAGGGTGGAATATAAATACTGTAAATAAATGCTGTAAATAAAATTTACCATCATTTTGCTGTTATTTCTCTATATTTTTGTTTTAGGACACAGCTGGTCAAGAAAGATATAGGACAATTACTACAGCCTACTATCGGGGTGCAATGGGCTTCATTTTAATGTATGATATCACCAATGAAGAATCTTTCAACGCTGTGCAAGATTGGTAAGTAAATTTGGGGACAGTGACAAGTGGAGTGCATGACAATTGATGGCCCAACTGCATTTTTGTTGTTGTTGTCCTGGCTGATTACAGACATTTTCTACTAGAATCCTATTTCAAGTAACATCACTCAGATTCTGAAGCTAAAATGCATGATCTCAAAGGCTGGCTTTGTTATTTGGGCATGTGAATCAATTAAAATCTCACATGCATGTATTGGCTACCTTGCAGTACAAATACAATAACCACCATAACTTACTTACTAACAATTTGCATTGTTTTTGTGACACCACATACTTTTTGCCTTTTTCTGTGTAATGCTAAGACTGATTCTGGTTGTTATTCTCTAAGATCTGAGGGACATGCTATCTAAGAACAGACCATGACTTAATTTTGCTTTTAAAAGTCTATCTTATCTGCATGAATGTGATTTTAAGAATGTTTTGCACTCAATCTCCTTTTTTTCCACTGGTGTCATTTATCAGATTCTTGCACTACATCCAGCTCACTATTGGATAATTCACAGATTATCTCAGTGCTGTAATTAACTTATTAAAGCAGTTATAAGTTGATGTTACTAATGCGACTGACCATAGGAATGTCTAGGAATATAGCAATAGCACTACCTAATTGCTATATGGAAGAAACGAAATGGGCAGGAAGCTACCTCATGGCAAGTAGCTAAAATACTCTGGGAAGCTAAGGTTGTCTAATTCCTATTATCATGAAAGTTGCATTATGAATATTCTGGTAACAGCAATAATAATGATTTGTTCCCTAAAAGCATCATATCCCATCTGTTCTTGGAAACTAAGCAGGGTCAGACCTGATTAGTACTTGGATGAAAAATTGCCAGTGAATATCAGGTTCTGTGAATTATATGTCAGAGAAAAGAACTGGCTAAACTGGCTAAACTAGACATGGGCAAACTTGGGCCTTCCAGACGTGTTGAACTTCAACTCCCACAATTCCCAACAGCCTCAGGCCCCTTCCTTTTCCCAGCTTAAGTGGTTGCCCGAGGCTGTTAGGAATTGTTAGAACATTTGTTAAACAATCCCTGAGTATTCCTTGCTCAGGAAAGCCTTGTGAAATCCATGTGGTTACAGGCACTTGAAGGCATATATGCACACATACTAAAAGCTCTAGCCGCCATTTAAAATATAAACATGTCTGAGGTTAGTGTACACCTGGCCAATGTGTTTTCTGCCCCTGGGTTAAAGGTTTAGCTATTGTAGTTTCCTTCATGCATACTACCCCTAAGATCTTCTAGATGTGGTCTACAACTCTACCTCTTTATATATGATAGGGACTCATCTTGCATCAAGCAGCTATTTCTTTAACTTCTCCTTACCTGGTGGAGCTCCTTTCTGTAATCCCTCCCTCTTTCAACCTTCCCCCTCCATCTTTGTTATCTATCTAATGCAGATTATAATCTACAGTAGAGTCTTGCTCATCCAACATAAACGGGCCAGCAGAACATTGGATAAGCGAAAATATTGGATAATAAGGAGGGATTAAGGAAAAGCCTATTAAACCTCAAATTACTTATTTACGAATTTAGCACCTAAAGATCGCAATGTATTGAAACAGCTGTGGATCTGGGCAGTAGGCAGACTGCACTGGATAATACAAAACGTTGGATGAGTGAAGGTTGGATAAGCAAGACCCTACTGTATTTGAGAAGAGATTATCAATAGGACATTCTGTATTGGATGCTGAACCCTTTATGTTGTTAAATTAGAATAGTAAATTTAGGGTTAAAACATAGAGATTCCAACATTTCTGAAACAAATCTGAAAGTTATAGGGAAAATGTGGGTACTAGTGCTGTTCAATTATATAGTTCTTTAAAACAGCACAAAGCAGAGTCAGCAGTTAATAATGAAGAGTAGGCTGAGAGCACATTTATTATGCAAAATGTTGTTTAAAAGCCTAGCATTTCGCAAGTTTGCCTTCCATTCTTTATCAAGAGACACATTCAGCTTTAGTCTAAGAAGTCTCTTTCACTAAAAAAGATAATACTTCATAGTTTTTTTTTAAAAAAAAAAACAACCACAGCCAATCATTTTTAATGTAATGCTTGAAGCATTGCTATTGTGTGTTCTTTAGGATTCCTTCCACATTGCTGTTTCTAATTGTATATAGGAAGAAACATCCAGGAGCTGCATCCCCTCACACCAAAAAAGCCCCGTGGAAGCCACAAGCAGTGGGTTTCCTACAACAAAGAAATGACAAAAAGCAGCAAAGATGTGGTTTATTTAACCTTAAGATTCCATTTGTCCATTGTAAACAAGATACATATTCATTTGTGCTTTATTTTCTTTGGCAAGGAATGCTCAGAGGTGGTTTTGCCAGTTTCTTCCTTTGAAATGTAGCCCAAAGGATGGGAGACTATTTGTTGGCAGTCTCCCATCCACGTGCTACCCAGAGCTTATCTTGCTTGGTTTGAAAGATCAGGCAGAAATGGGTGATTTCGGGATATTTGGGCCAGGCCACAGAGGGATCCTTGCTCTTCCTCCTTCTCCTCCAATTTCCTTAGTTTTGAACTTAAAACAACTTACCACACATTTTTAAAAAACACACATCAAAATTCATGAGAAATAAAAGAGAAAAAGGGACCATTAAGAAATTAAAAGCAGATGAAGATGTACATCATCAAACACATACACATTCATACCAGCACAACAATTAGCAATATCAAGTGCACTGTTTAGATGGCAGGTTTTATATAATCACTTCTCAAATGCCTGCCAAAAAAGAAAAGCCTTTACTTAACTGTGAAAAGTTTCTGACTTTGTTTTGAAGGAAGATGTAAGCCTAGGTGTTTTGAAAGTCTTTCATTTTCACATTGGCTGGGAGCAGATGTACTCAGGGAGAGGGCAAAACTTGGTCAAGATATGAATGCTGCCCAGCTCAAAACATTGTATTTGCTTGACACTTAACAGATTGATCAAAATGTTTCAGAAACATGCTCACAATTATTGTGACCTCATTGTGTAACAGCTTAATATTATCATTCTTTTGCAGAATATAGCACTTGCCTGGGATATGCACATCTGTAAAAATCTAGATTGCCTCTGTGTGTTCAGAAAATTAGCCCTTTCAGAACATGAGTCACTGGAGGAAGGAGTAATTTAGCTCAAATGTGTTAGGGGAGCTGGCTTTATTTTGCCAGAAAACAGATGTGTTTCTATCCAGTAGAAATGGTCAGTAGAGATCAGCCAACTTTTCATGTACAAAGGAACACAATGTGACCAGTGCTGAACCCCATCACTCATAATGGGGTGGCCCTGGAAGCTCTGCAGAGAATAACAGAGACAAGATCATAGCTTTTCCAAAAACAGTTTTATGCTGAAAAATGCAGGCTACAGAAAATTAATGAGTCACTGTGAAGGCTTCCACAGACATAAGAGGGAGGGAGGAAAATGAAATTGGTGCCAACTACAAAGGCTGTGCATTGGGTTGCTTTGGCATTGGGGGGACTACAATGGGGAAAGTTCAGCCGATGGGTGGCATCCATTCCCTGAAGCTGCTTTTTGGAACTGTTCCCAGTTGCCAAGCACAAAACATGATATTTTGTTTCTAACGTGGAACCTAAAATTGTATTTGAGAATAAAGTAAAAGATTATACTCAGAGTTGTGGTTCCAGTCTAAGTGATGTTAGAGTTTTCAAGACTTTTAGATGAAGGGAATGGTCTTATTTCTGCTTAATAGGGAAAAAAAAGGTTTGTCTGGACCATGGTGTCAGAATCATTTTTATCAAGGGCCACGTTAACCTTATGGTTGCCCTCAAAGGGCTGTTGAATCCATGGATGGGGAAATCTATGTATACAGATAAGCAGCTCTCTCTATCTATCTATCTATCTATCTATCTATCTATCTATCTATCTACACACACACACACACACACATATAGTGGTTGGTACTCTTTTTGAGTCCCTGGATGTTATTGAACAACAACTACCATCACCTCTGTTTACCCATCATACAGACTGGAGAAATATTGGATAATGGAAACTGCACCCCAATAGGACTTGTGATTCCAAAGTTGGGAAAGGTTACAGGATATTTTAAAGTCAGACATGATATCCACAAACCTTGTATCTAAATTCAAAGCCCACTATCCTGTCTAAACAGAACAGACTGGAGTGTTCCAGATTTTACTGTATCACAACTCCAATTAGATCTAGTCATTATGTCTGATGATGAGTAACACAGGAGGTGTAGTTCAGCATTTGGAGGGTCACATAAAATGGCATGACAGGTGGGATTTGGCCCATGGGGCTTGAGTTTGGCACATGTGGCCCAGCTACTACATTAAATGTAATGTTCCTTTGTAAAGTCTAAATACAACCTGGAATAATCGTTTACCCATTACTACTTAAAGATGTGAACCCAGAACTTACTTACTTTCAACTGAGTCTCAACAATGATCTATTCTGCTGCCAATGCCCTTTCCCATCACTTTCCAGCCTGTACATGAATAGATTTAATGACTAGCATTTTTGATTCAACAGGAGCCTCTCTTCTCATGTTATTAAATTCTGTCGGTCCCAAAAGACATTGTGCCTATGCTGGGAAAAGATAGTCTTTTCAGTTCCGCTACCTATCTTTCACATGGCATTCTGTCCCATTAATATTTAAATATTTGCACTTTTGCTTTCCATCGATTATTTATAAAATTAAATCAAATGCTCCACTACTACAGAGCAATGCCAAGAGGAACTAGCACCAAGGTATATTGCAGTATGGAAGCTCAGTCAAAGACATTCAAGGCCACTCTGGGCATATTTATTTATTTATTTATTTACTTCTTTTGTATACCGCAAATATCAGCCTAAAAAGGCGACTCGAAGCATATACCTCCATAGTGACACATACAGTGCTGAATTACAGATCTTGCAGAAACTTTGTGAACACTGATAACTGTTGTTTCCATGTCAGAGAACGTATCAATCCGCTTGGGGTCTATTTAAAAGAAGTAGTCAAAAGTGCCATGCCCAT